TTGGTGATCACGGTGGGCACGCAACCCGTGCCGCTGGCCCGGTGGAAACATCCAGGAGGCACGCAGTGTTGTGCAGCGTTGACTGTTACCACCGCGAAGCGGCGGCTATTTAATTTCACTTGGTGATCACGGTGGGCACGCAACCCGTGCCGCTGGCCCGGTGTAAACATCCAGGAGGCACACAGTGTTAGCCCGCCTGGGAGTGTTATCCGTGGGCACGCAACCCGTGCTGCTGGCCCGGCGTAAACATCCAGGAGGCACACAGTGTTAGCCCGCCTGGGAGTGTTATCCGTTCGAGACGGAACGCTAATGGAGAGCTGTATGACGGGAAACTGTCACGTACGGTTCAGAGGGCAGAGACTCACCTCTGACCCCTACCCATTTTAGGTTTTGCTTATACTGAAGCTGTTGCTTTAGTCGCCTTACATTGCTTGCTGTATGGATCCCTGCACTTTATAGATTGCATGCGCCTTGTTAATGTCCTGTCTGCTCAACTGGCCTGTTGTTGGTTTGCTGTGCAGGTGTATGGCTCTAGCGTGAATCCACCTGTGCGGACAAAGTGCCTCAGTGCAATATGTAAGATACTCCATTTTAGCACACGGGATATGCTCCAGAATCTCCTCAATGAATCAAATGTCTCCAGGTGAGCAAAAGCATAAGCAGGTTTGAAAACATTTGCGTTGTTGTGTTTGACCGTCTTCATGAGCAGTTTGTTCAACATCAATTGCATCTTGCGCTCTGAGCACATCTCGCACGGCTGTATTCCACCTTTTTCTTTTGTGTGTGTGGTCTGATGGACCATGGATCAGATATCAAACTGATCAGAAGATATACCACCCTTTATCTTAGACAGAAGGCCGAGAAAGGTATGGCGGTAGTTGTAGTGGTGGTATTCACACCTAAAGTCTATCGATTTCCAGAATCTGTTTCATTGATGTGGCCAGTGTTCCCTCTCTGTCGGGAAAGAATAGTATTGGCATCAACGGCAAGGATATTTTAAAGACCCCTTGGTTTGCCTTGGTTTAGTGCAAGCATCTTACAAGTATTATTTTCAAGCGAGGCCTTGAAAACCCTGGTCTGGACTCTGAAGACAGAACTCTCGACTGAAGTCCCAGGAATTTGGACCAAACTTTAGACTGAAGTCTGAGGAATTTGTCCCCAAGTGCTATTCGTCATTATGGAGTCAAGTGGTCTTCATTTCTCTTTGGGAAGGTGCTGGCATTGCAACGCTGGTGGCCTCACAAGAAGGTATGCATCTCTCTCCTTGTGAGTGGGGCCAACATGTGAAGTGCCAGTTCTTCACGAGGTCCCGCTCTCCTGATCAATAATGCTTCATGCCATCATCGTTGGTCAATCACTCAAGCGAGCAATGGCTATCTGTTTGCCAGCTCAGTCACCATGTTGTCAGTCAGTTGGTTACTCCGCCGGTGTATCCGTAACTGGGCAAATATCCGCGTAATGTCCATTGGTGTACGAGTAACTGGTAAAGATTGGTGACCATATCAAAGATCGTGGTAATGTCCATTGGTGTATCACAAACTGGTAAAAGTGATCATCGGCACACTATTTTTTCTTGTTCTCGTTATCGTCTTCCCTCGTCCTCATCTCCCCCTTCCGTCCTCCCTCCTGCTTCCTCCTGCTTCCTCCTTCCTCCTCCTTCCTGCTTCCTTCCTCCTTCCTCCTCCTGATTCCTCCTCCCTCCTCCCTCCTGCTTCCTTCCTCCTTCCTCCTCCTAGGTCCTCCTTCGCACTTACTGTCTAGTTATAAACAAGGTTTCAAGAAAGAAAAAGGGAGCAAATGGGAAGAACAAAATTTGTCGATCATTCAAGCAGTGAATATGAGCAGCCGAACACATCACATTATTCCCGTTTCGTGTACGGAAAAAGAGACTGGCAAAGAAAACTTTGTCCGCCCTCACCTCGCTCTCATTTTTGCTCCTCCTCCCCTTCCCTCCTCCTCTCTTCTTCTGTGGCATGCCACGTGGTACATTGGCATGCTATTTGTTTTTTTTGTTCTCTTTGTTGTTGTCCACCCCTTGTCTCGCCCTCTTCCTTCCTGCTTCCTCCTCCCCCCTTTCTCCTACGTCCTTCTTCGCACTTATTCTCTAGTATAAAGAAGGTTTTAAGGAAATATGAAAAGGAAGCAAATGAGAACAACAGAATTTGTCGATCACTCAAGCAGCGAATATGAGCGGTCGAACCCAGAAGATGATTCCTGGTTTGTAAAGAGAGACTGGCAAATAAAATTTTATCTGCCCCCACCTTGCTCTCATCCTCGTTATCCTCCTCGCTGCTCTTCCCCCTCCTCTCTACTTTCGTCGCGCGCCAAGTGGCACATCGGCACACTATTTTTTTTCTTGCTCTTCCGCGTCCTCCTCCCTCCTCCTCCTCCCTCCTCCTCCTCCCCCCCACCCTCCTCCCTCTGCTTGCTCGTTCCCCCTTCCTCCTCCTACGTCCTCCTCCCCCCCTCCCTTCCTCCTCCTACGTCCTTTGCACTCATCGTCTAGTCATATAAACTTTATAAAGAACGTTTTGAGAAAGACAAGGAAGCAAATGACAACAACAAGATTTGTTGATCCTTCGAGACAAAAGGGAAGCAAATGGCAACAACGGAATTTGTCGATCCTTCAAGACAAAATTTGTCGATCCTTCAAAACAAAATGCGTTTTTGGCCTGAGGTGCGTCGAGGCCCAGTATTACCCGTTTTTTTTTTTTTTTTTTTTTTTTTTTTTTTTTTTTTTTCAGTGGTGCATCGAGGCTACAACCAGCCCGTTTTCGTTTTCTCTTTTCCCCCCCATCAGCCCTTTCATTTTCCTGCCTTTCCGCGGCAGCTGGTTTGTGCACCGAGGCCCATCATGACACGGAGCAGTAGTTCCCTTTTGTTTTTTTTACGGGGTGAGGTAGTCGTGCCCCCTGTAGTTTGCTTTTTTTCAATAGCATTTTCAGGCAAGCCGTTGATAGAGGCCGGGAAACTCGCTGCTGAGCGGATGGCCCATCTCACAAACGGGCAGAATCTGGTCCTGACCTTAGGAACTTTAATAGAATGTGTACGTCTACATCTGCATCTACATCCACATCTACATCCACATCTACATCTACAATCTACATCTACAACAAACTCCTATACCTAAGGGGGCTGCGGAGGGAATGCTGTGCGCAGATAATTTTCGTTTTCCGCGAGTTCTGGCCTGTGGATTTCGAAACCAATGGGTGGAATTGCATGAAACAAAGGTTTTCAGTGAAATGTGTCCGGGCCTAGCTGACTAACATGTGGTTCTCTGTGGAATTAGCTTTTGGTGAAAAAATGTGCGTATTGCTGCCGTCGATTGTCTGTTTTCGAACGGTGTCTTCTTGAAGTGAGGCGTGTGGGGTGGTGGATCGTGTCAGAGAATCGGGGTGGCTGTTTTGATTTTGAGGTGTTGTGTGTTGCAGCCGTTGATCTACCATTGTTGAACGGTGGCGCATTGACTGGCAGAGTGTTTCAGGGCCGATTGTGTCAGAAGCCGTTTTTTGTTATCTTTCCTTGCATCGCATTTTTTTTCTTTTTCCGGCGCGTCGCGGCTCATCCATGACTGTTGATATGCAGACCGGAGTTGAAATACAACAGGACTACATGAGCACAACCAAACAATCGAAATTTGCAGCCCACCGATCTGTTCACAGACGGTCTGTGTTACATACTCCAATGAGTATGGGCAGAACCAAGAATCAACCAATATAGGATGAGTTTTTATGCAGTGGAAGGCTTATAACGAACTGAC